ATTCGCTGCCTATTCGGAGCCTATTTGGAACATACTTTGGAGCATGCTTTGATCTAGAATAGCTGCAGAATCGCTGCCGATTCACTGCCTATTCAGAGCCTATTTGGAACATGCTTTGGAGCATGCTTTGATCTAGAATAGCTGCAGAATCGCTGCCGATTCACTGCCTATTCGGAGCCTATTTGCTACATGCCTTGATGCGTGCTTTGGTCCAGAATCGCTGCCAATTCGCTGCCTATTCGGAGCCTATTTGGAACATGCTTTGGAGCATGCTTTGATCTAGAATAGCTGCAGAATCCCTGCCGATTCACTGCCTATTCGGAGCCTATTTGCTATATGTCTTGGTGCATGCTTTGGTGCAGAATCGCTGCCTATTCAGAGCCTATTGGAACTATGATTTGGAGCAGTATGACTGGCAGGGCGAATAGCTGCCGTACGGTAGGTCTGCCAGGTTCGCTGGCAGGTCAGTCAGCGTCACTGGCATATTAAATACCTGCTGTACGGCTGGTCAGTCAGCATCACTGGCAGGTCTATCAGCGTCAGTATCAATCCAATACCTGCTATACGGTAGCTGGGAGGTGTCAATAGCATGTCAAATAGCTGCCATACGGCGCGACTGACAAGGTTTGCACATACAAAATTTGACCCTAACCTGACCGTAACCCGAAGCTGACCCCACCAGAAAGAGGTATAATATAGTTATTTTTGTTCGTTTTCAAATTCGCGATGAGTCGGCAGTCAGGATCTTGAATTTTGGAGTTGATTTTGGTTCTGACATCAGGGGGGTGTGATTAGCGGATCCCTTCTTGTCTAGATAAAAAGTTCCCCATTGATTTTTGTGATTTCTGGTTTAGACAGTGGGTCACCTTTAGGTTTTTGTTTCTGCTTGTTGGTGACTGTTGTGAATTCAGTCCCTGTATCTTGGGCAGCGACGACAGCGTATGATTCGTGTTCGCTGCTCAATTAGGTTGGGCAGGGGGTACAGATATTTCAAGTTTCCTGCCTTTGTATGATGGGGCTAGTCGGCCTGCAGCTGGAGCTGGAGGGGATATGATCGGTCTGTGTTGGTTGGAATCGTTCTGTTGGGTCTGGTTCATTGAGGAGGTTTGGTGTTGTAGCCAGTGGAGTTTCCCGTTTATTATGTCAAGGTTCTTAGTTATTTCGAACATTTGTTTTGCTGGCATGTCGAGGGTGTGTTTCAGAGCCCCATTTCGTTGGAAAATTAGTTCCTTCCTGGCAGTGTTATCATGGTTAATCTGGTTGGTGTTTTGTTTGATACATTCAATAGCGATAGTGAGAGCGTTACTAACTACCCATAACATATAGTTCAGGTCTATTCTGGTGTTTGATTCCTGGAGGACAATCGTTGAGTAGATATAGTCATATCAGGGTGTTTATTGTTCATTGTATGTGGCGTGTTCTGCGAAAATGAAGAATGGTTCATTGTTCAGTTAAATTTGTTCGATGATAGTAGATTGAGTTGATTGAACTTGATGGGTTTCGGCGAAACATTGGGGGGCAAAAATCTCTGTGGGTAGGGTTCTCACAAAGCAAAAGTGCAGGAAATCTTGCTGGGACATGATGGATATCCTGTATCGGTTGAGGGTAGGGGAGACTTGTGAAAGTCTTCTTTTCCTGCCTGCAGTGCTCGGTTGTGTAGGGGGGCGTAAGGAGATTGGGTATGCCAGGGTATAAGTATTTTGCTGTGGTCACGAAGGTTGTTTTCCTTTGTTGAGCAAGGGATTTCGGAGGGATAAGAGTTCACAATTCAGGGACCAAAGTGTCAATAACTTAGCGTACAAACAGATGTGCGATGAGATTTTTGTATATTGTGCGGTATATTGACATACGGGATCGTGTTTGCAAAAGGTTTTTATCGGTTTTGTTAGGATTGTAAGTTGTCGATGTTATATATTAGAAGTTAGTTTATGATTATATTTGAAAATTTTCTTTAGGTTTCGAGGTTAGCGGCTCTCAGATAAAACTGACATGGTTCAAAAAATTTAGTTTGTGGGCCGGAAAAATATAATCCAGTGTTACCAGAAGTAATCCATTTGTTCAGTAATTTTGACCAACCCTAACAATACGAGATAGAAGACTATAGTGCAACAATACAGAATAAGGAATGTCACTCATGGATCGTAACTCACATATTGGGTTGAAAGTATTGCGGATGCGTGGTTTGAGATTGAAATCCGAATTAGTGTTAGAAAACACACCAGGCGGTAACCTGGAGGTCAGAAATCCGAGTTGACGTAAGAAGACACAGCGGAGACAAGAAGTGGGATTCGCCCAATACGGTAACCCGCAGTTCGGAATCCGAAGTTTATGTATTCCATCGAAGCAAAGGATGGGGAAACGTGGCATCATTGAATTTCGTGCGCCGTGATGCTCATGGGCTCGAGATGGTGCGTTCGGTACTATGCAGGCACCGATCGTGGTACTGGCCGGGTGAATGGCTGTGCTGGGAGTGAACCAGGACAGGTTGCCAAGACTCAGAGGGAGTTACTGTACCCAAATCCCACAACCACCACCTCTACCCCTGCCATCACCACCGTGACCCCCTGTACCCACATACCTAACGATGGGGATGAACTCGGGCCATTTTGTTCAACCTATAGCCATGGAATCGGGAATTGTAGAGCGACAGTTCTTGGCCAATCTCGAAATCCTGTCCGAATTTGCCTTACTAGACTGCAACAATACAGAATATGGAATGTCAGTCATGGATCGTCACTCAGATATTGGGTTTCAAGTATTGCGAATATCGTGGTTTAAAATTGGAATCCAAATTAGTGTTAGAAAACACATCAAGATGGTAATCTGGTAGTCAGAATCTGAGTCAGTGTAAGAAAATACACCGGAGTCAAGGAGTGGGATTCACCTCATTCAGTGGCCCGGAGGTCAGAATCTAAATTCATGCATTCCATAGAAGCGGAGGATGGGGAAAGTCGGTATCGTTAAATATTGAGCGCCGTCATTATCGTGGGCTCGCGATGGTTCTTCCTGTACCATGCAGGTATCGATTGTGGTACCCGACCGGTGAGTGGCGGTGCCGGAAGTGCATCAGGATAGGTCAGCAAGACTCACAGGAAGTTACCTTACCCAACAGCCTACAACCACCACCTATGCCCCTGCTATCACCACCACGAGGCCCTGTATCTACATACTTGATGATGGCGATGGACTCAGTGTTTCTATTTAATCCGTAGCTACGGAATCCGGAATTGTTTGGCGACGGTTCCCAGGCAGCCTCAAAATCCTGTTCGACATTGCACTACCAGAGGGCAAATCAAGTGTTGTGACAGATGTTTTTTATAACAACAATATTCATAGCATAGAACTAGAGTAGAATAACTTTACAAACAGATTTGTCATAAACTATCAGTAGATTACATGGCCTACTAACATATAGGATCATGTTACAAGAAAGTTCTTATTGTTTTGCAGGTGAAAAGTATTGTTGTTAGGAAATTCTGATGTTGCGAGGGAAAGGTAACGTTTCGTAAACAAGAAAGAAAAAGAAGTAGAAGAGAGGAGGATGAAGTCTCGAATAAAAACCTATAGCAAATCGCAACCACCAATTCATACGACCTAGACTGAAAGAAATCCAAAGAAAGTAATGGAAACCTGATTTAAGATATGACACTTCTTTCTGTCACCTAATCCTCAAAGAGTCTAGCGTTTACTTCCGTAGCTGAGTACTTTCTAAACTGAGCAATCAATCCCAACCTAACACCAATCTTCTAGCCATCAACACGATTCTGGAAGTTGCGAGATGCCAGGCAAGCTGGGGGCGGTCGGGCCGTGATAATAGTTGGCAATCCCCAATGCAAATCAAGTGTATTTCATCGACTCAGCTTTAAGCAAATTTGATAATCATTGGAAAACCCATAGATTGGTTCCATCTGTCGTAAATAAATAATGCTTATCTGGATATATTTATTGGCCAAGTCGGAGCCGGTTACGTTTCAGAAAAACAGTTTTAGAGGACGGACAGCAGCTAGATATAAAATAGGGTCACTTACTATCACTCACCTTTCCTGGTCATAGAATATCACTCACCTTCGCCGGGTCAGAGCCTATCACTCGCATTCGCCCTAGAATTTGGTGCAATTAGCAGTCTAATTAGGCGTCAAATTACCTCTTGATATGGTGCTACTGCCTGAGTCGCTGCCGGCGGAGTCGCCGCTCACGGAGGCGGTGGCGGAGTTCCTGGTGGAGGTGTTGATTTGGTTTTTGATTTGGTGCTGCGAGCAGAGTTGCAGGTGCTCGATTTGCCGCTAGTGGATGTGTCGCTAGCGGCGGTGCCACTAACGAAGGCGCAGGCGCCAGTAGAGGTACTAGTGGATGCGGTGGCGGAGGTGCTAGCGGTGCTCCTAGCGGAGGCTCAGGCACTAGTGGAGGTCGAGGCCAAGGCCGAGGTCGAGGTCGGGGTCAGGGTCAGGGTCGGGGTTATTCACTAGCGGGGCTATGCGTTTCGTGAGATTGCGACCTAAAAACCTACGATTCCCGGGGTGCAAGGAAATGCGTGTTCGGTGAGCGCCGTCAAGACAGGGACCGTATGGCGCCTCCAGCACCGCTCTCAGTATACCTGGCGTACGGTCACTCCAGCAGTGGGCACCCCGTCAGCGCTAACCTTAACTCTAACCTCACCCCAACAGAAAGCCGTAGAATGCAACCCCTCTTTCAACAAGCTTAATTTGCTAGATAGATATATCTATGTGTACATACAAAAGTATCCAGAGTCCAATATCTAGCCTAAACCTTACATGAAAATAATAACAAAAGTGCAATCCAAATATCATGAAAACAGTACTTAGCTCCAGGTGATATTCCAGAAAAGTGAAAGTAAGGAGATGTATAGCGATATGAAAACATCTAGTAACCTATTAACCTAGCAGATTTCATTCTGGTCTTCCCCACATAGCACATAGCTCTCGACCGCTGGTTCCATTCACATCAAATGCGCTAGAAAGTGCGACCACCACTTAAAGCCCTCAGCTGGTGAGAGGTGAAATACGAGGCATATAGCTCTCGTCATCAGTATACCTCGGGTCCACGGTAATGTAGTTGAAGACTAGTTTGATGACTTCAGCGTTTCCCGTGCGGTTTGCACTTGATCCTATGCGGTCACACATCCCCCCCGCGGTTCTTAGACCGTTGCCATCCGTAACGAACTCGTTGTAATCCATAAGGAACTTAATCATCTCCACATGATGCCCGGCGATGGCCTCAATTATAAGCTTCTCGTAATCTTCTTGGCAGGGGTTTACTCCATTATCCACCAGTATTTTCACTAGTGCTATGTTTCCTTTCTTTACTACAGCACGTATTATTGGCCGGTGGCCCCAATCTTCGATCCTATCAGGTGTTGCGCCATGTTTCAACAAAAGCCTCATTAACTCTTCGTTCTCTTTGGAAATTGCCAACATAAGCGGCATTCCGTCGGCGATATCGGGGTTGGCTCCGATATCAAATAGTAGCTGGACCTTGGTAGAGTTCCCATGCTCATGTTCGATTAACCCGAGCAGAGCATAACCAGTTCCTCTCTGCCAATCGGGAAAGATATACGGCTCACGATCCGAATTTTTAATCGAGGGTGCGTCTTCAGTGTCGGAGGGAGCGTCTTCAGTGTCGGAGGGCGGGTTTTCAGTGTCGGAGGGCGCGTCTTCAGTGTCGGAGGGCGCGTCTTCAGTGTCGGAGGGCGGGTTTCCAGTGTCGAAGGGCAAGGTGGTGGCGTCCCGAGCAGAGCTTGTTTCGCTCCCCATCTCATTCTCGTTCGAGTCAAAATTGCTTCGAAAAGATCTATGTGCATCTGGACAATGTCCGCCATAACGTGCACCGTAAAGCATTAAAACGTGAACAATATCCACCCTACCTTTCCTGCTCGCCAAATCCAATGCTGTTTCTGAGCCACGGCTCCCATTTGCATCCGCCCCATGTTTTAACAATAACTTCACCATATCTATGCTGTTCTGCTGGACCGCCGCATGCAATGCACACTGCGAGCCATATTCTGCATCCGGATTGGCGCCGAATTTCAATAATACGTTCACTATTTTTACGCAGCGTTGCCTGACTGCCATAGCTAAAGCTGACAGGCTCCCGTAACTCGCATCAGGGTTCGCGCCATAGAAGAGCATGAGTTTTATTGGCTCTACCCTGCCATTCTCGATTGCGTCATGCAAAGCAGCCTTCGAGCCCCTCGCACTACGTGCGCTTTGTTGATTCTCCAACATGATATTTGCTATCTCTCTATTGCTCTCATCGACCGTCATATGTAGTATTTTGGAACTGTGGTTACTTGGAGCCGCACTCGCAAGACTAACACATTCACCCTCCGATAAAAAGGTGATCGAAATCTCTCCGTTACGCAAATTGGCCGCTATATGTAGCGCCCCCTCGGCACCCGTGCACCCATCTATACAGGTTCCATGCTCAAAAAGCACCTGTAAAACCTCAACTCGGTCGTGGAGAACAGCAAAATGCATAGCTCTTAATTTTTGTTTTTCTGTGGCATCCCTCACCATACACTCCACCACATCAGGAAATCCTTGCATTGCAGCAAGCTCTAATGGTGTTCTTCCAAACTCGTCGCTTGCTTCGCGATTTGCACCAGAACGAAGAAGCTGCTGGACTATAAAAGTGGATCCAGTGTATGCTGCCCAATGAAGTGCTGTCTTTCGTGAACGATCATAGATGTGCAAATCAGCCCCAGACTGAAGCAGTAGCTGCGCCATCCCTTCGTTCCCACTTCTTGCAGCACAATGCAATGGCGTGAACCCATCATACGCTTGAGCATTTACGTTTACCCTGCTTCGAATGTGCGTCCACTCAAGATGTATTCGTCTATTCTCGGCGGCGGAATGCAATGGTGTCCGTCCAGCCAGATCCTCCGACCTCCAGTCAGCACCATCCTTCAGCAGCTTCTCGATCCATTCCTCGTACCCTATGCTGGCAGCATAGTGCAGTGGGGTCCACCCCAGCACATCCTTTTTATCGGTATGATAATTTACTCTTGGCTCCAACAGATACTCAAAAATGGCTTGATGTTGCTGCGTTAGATGGCAGGTGCCATCTCCTGAGAGTTCGAACTGAGAATCTGATGGATCATGATTAAACTGAGAGTCCTTTGTATTATCGTTAGACTGAGAGCCCGATGGATCATCATTTGGCCGGGTGTCCGGTGGATTGTCGTTGGACTGATCGTCGAATATCGAGAAATTATCTCTGCGGTGAGGGCCCGGTGGATCCTCGGTTGACAGGGACAGTCCTTGATTGGTCTTTAGTAATTCGAGACTGAGGCCTTGCCTGCAATATAGCCGCTCTAGGTGGCGCATTATCCTGACATCCTGAAAGTCATGTAAGGCCTTGGCATACCTAGCCAATTGTACAGCCAAAGCTCGGGAAGGGTCGTGTGCTTGTTCCAAATTGTCTCCTCTGAACCTGACAATTTCTGCTCTCCATGAGTTTAAAAACACAAGGAATGCTGCTGTAGCTCTGACCTGGGCTGTTGACTCTGGTCTAGGCGATTTGTTGCTGGGTGCGACGCTTGTTGTGGGTCCTGGCGGGGCGGTTACTGAATCCGGGTGTTGGATATTCGTTTTTACTGCCGAAGAGACAGGCACCTGTGGCGCTGGGCTCTCCACCGGGTGCTGGGCCGTGTAGACCGGTTCAAGCGGCCCAAGACTGCATGCCCTGAAAGTCCAAAGGTACATATTCGCAGCTTGCTCCCAATTCCTGTCGAGTTGATATTTCTTGGCTTGATCATTGATATACTCCACGACAACACTGGTATCCGGAAGCTTCCCCTTCGCGCTAAAGGGCGGAATGATACTCATGTAAATATCATTGAATGTACCCAGACCGGTCTTCCCGATTTCTTGTATTAGACTGGTGAGGTTATCGTTTTGGAGTGTGACTGATTGCCATCGTTCTTTTTGACTCAGAGTGGACTCCACTACACTTGTCTTTCCGGTGAGTTGCTTTGTTCTTGTGGACCCCGCAAAGGCCCATAGAAATGCTGAGAACATTTCCTGCGAAAAAAGCATGGCAACTGGGGCCTCGGAAATGGTCGCAAGACAACACCGGGGCTTCTAATTATTCACACTATCAGCAGGTGCTCTTGACGAAACCACATTATAAGGGGAAAGAGGGGATACCTCTAGATTGATAACAGCTCCTGTTCCAAGTACTGTTGTTGAGGAGGATAGTGGCATTACATGTGTGGATGGATTATTGGTGCTGTCGGTGTTTAGGTGTGACGATGATCCGTTTAGGGCACCAGTGGGGGGAGGTGTAACTTCGTTTGCCAATGAAATCTCGATAATAGGGATTTCTGCTAGTATTTTGCTTTTATAGGTTCCTGTACTTAACTCTGCCCCTCCAAATCCCACGATTTTGTGATCATCGCTGATTTTTATTCTAGACTCGGAGATGTCTTCGCTTTTTTGAGATAGATCGATCTCTGCCACCGCTTTGGCGCCATTACCGGTCCACCACTTGATATCCCTACGCAAACAAGGTGTGCTAGAACCAAGAAGCCGAATACCTTTCCGCGTTGATGCTTTACCACTTCGCAACCAATCACCCCCCACATCCCTCTCATCCAAGCTGGAGTCTTCGTTGGGAGCAGTATTCTCTTTTTCAAATACCGAAAACATCCATAAAGACAACACGGCTTCAATCTCAGAAAGATCGGCTTTCCATTCCCCGTCTTTATTCCTATGGACTGCAAATTTGATATTTTCGGGAAACTCCTGGAATCGAGCGGTCATATACCAAGAAAACCCCTTCTCCTCAGGGTCAAAATCTCTTAGAACATTGTTATTCATCATAATCTCTATTGCAGCAGCAACAGAGGTTGCTTCATCCGAATAGCCTCCTGGCCATCTTGTTAGGTAACCGAGACGTATTCGGGCTTGAACAACCTCTAGCGCACTATGCCTTCCTACAGCAGGCAGCCCTGAGATGTCCAGCATTGGAGTCTCGTATCCGTTACCCTTTGGACCTGTGATAATGCCCCAACTGTAACATCCTTGTCCCCAAAATCCGTCGGTTTCTTTTTTCGTATATGGGAGTTGGGTCTTTCGCCAGGTCAGGTTCCTCCATCGACTTCCCGCCGGGCGGTTGAGTGTCGTCTCTTGTGCTCCCCATAGCCTTGCCCTATCAGTAACGCTGGACACCCTCACCGCTAACCAATCCATCTCATGATCTGGCGGTAGCTGTTGGGAGCGTGGGCATTCCGAAAGCCCTCGACGTACGATGGCTCTCAGACCAGTCATAACCATTGTTGCTCCAACCTGAGCAACAGAGACAGACCAATGCATCCCCCGAAGACCCATAAATTGAAAGATAAATCCGAAGAGGCTAAGCAATGTAGAGGCAGTGGTTGCATATTCAAAGAGACGCGAATCAATATTATTTGAGTCAACAAGCCTATGATTTCGACGAGAGGTCATGATATTGGACTTTTTTTCGTTTGCGAATATAGCATGGGAGTGGAATACTTGGTCATTAACGGTTTCGCCTTTCTGTAACCATATAATGTGGCCTTCGACGGGGTATCGTTCTTCAATGGTGCTTTTATCAATAATGTAGGAACAGCATAACATCCCAACGACCACTCCAATAGTTCCCATAAGAGTGCAGTACCAAGCCCAGGCCACAGGCGTTGATTCCAACCTTTCTCTCAGCGCCGAGTTATAATCGGACTGGTGGGCATACACCAAAACAGCCGTCTGTACTACGGTCCCGAATATTGCGACCAGATATAGTTCAAATTTGTTCACATGACTGTGAAGATTAAGCGATATATTTGGGGCACTTCCCATTTGCTCCTGCTTTTGGTGTTGAGGTGTGTTTTTCTCAGTAGCCTGCACAGGTGATTCAGCGGCGGATTCAGGATCTTGGACTATTGGTCCTACTCGGTTTATATGTCAGCTTCATTTGGCTCCGAAAATCGTTGTTCTTGACCTGTACTATTCTATGACATACCTGCTACAGCATCTCCGGGAGCCTTTCGTCTCTGGTCACTATTCAACCATTTCCTTATCCAACCTTTTCCCCTCTCCATGTCAGCTCACTTCGAGTGCCCGTCTCTCGTCCAATCCAAGTAAACTTACTGGGTTGGTCAGGTGCGGTGCCATAAAGTTCGTCTAGAGTGTAAAGATTGCATGTGTTCGGCCCTCCGATCACGCCATCAAGCATTTGATGTCGATCAATGCTGTTCGGAGTGTTGACCTTTATCGCCTTCGCATCAAATATTATCTCTCGAATCTTCGGCCCACCCATGATCCTGACGATATTCTGACCATTCCACATTTCGCAAACTTCATGTGACGTAGAGGACATCAACTCGACCTCAGCCATCGCACGATTCTCCCTTGCCCTGCCAATAATTGCTCTTAACCATCCAGATCCACCCACCCGAATTGCTCCGACAATGGCCGTAATAATACCCAGTGGTGCCATAGCGAATATGATGTTGTCAACCCATCCCATTGACTGGCTCATGTATTGTTTCGCAACCTGTTCGCCGAAGAGTGCCAGGATGGGACCGAAGTCTGAGATGGCATTACTCGATAATCCGCCAACGTCTAGGGACTGTACGGGAGGCATGTCGGATGCCATATTGAACTATATATAAGTACGGGTTTTCGAGTAGGATACTAGCTATTTCTTTGACAGATGTGTTAGAAGCGTGCTATCTACACCCATCTCTAAAACTAAAAGAATCCCAACACACCAAAACCGGGGGAGGTTCTGATCCAGCCTAGAAAGAAGAGGTGTATTGTCTTTTTAAGGTTTCGGTACCCAAGAAAATCCAAAATGGAAAACGAATTCAGATGATAGAAAATGGATCAGTTAGTGTAGTGTTTTTGCGTAAATCTTAAAAAAATGGCAGCCGTAAGCGTCCTAGGGGCGACAAATAAATAGATATTCTTGATTTGAGTTGACTGGGCCGCTAGAATAAGATTTAGTTACTCGGGAATTAAGTGACAATACTTATTTACTGTCAGTCCCTTGGCGAAGAGGGGTAGTTAAACAACAATTGGTCCTCTTCTAGGTAGGTAGCATTTTGGTGTGGACCGTAACAACGTACAGACTTTCCCGCTTCTTTCTCATCTTCATAAGTCACGCTGAGTGCCCATCTCCTAGGTAGGTAGAGTAGGGGGAACGAGCCTAGCGTGATATTCCTAGGCTCGATCCATCTCCGTAGAATTATTGTGGAAAACAGGGACCAACCATCACGCCGAGAACAGAGCGATTCTCCAACGCCACATTTCCGCAATAATTCTACCGGAGGCTGTACTAGTTTTGCTACTCTACGGTCAGTCTAGAGCAGAGTAGGGTGGATTTAGAGATTGTGGATCGGTCGATTCTTTCCTGAACGCGCCTGAAGGTGGGGGTGCCTCTGCGCATGCCTCATGTAACGACATGTACAACTCATCGAATGAAGTACCTAGGTACATATCGCACACCACCTATCAGCCCAGCTGCAAGTGAAAGAGGATTTGCTTTTGCTTTCAATACATCTTATTTGTCTAGCTACTAACCTTTTGTACTTTACATAAGCGCAGCCTGCCTCATCAGCTGAAAAGCCTTGAATCGGCTTATCACCTTATTGAGACTAAGGGTAATCAAAGTGCGTCGGGTTGGGTTGAGTTGAGGTTTTCGGGTCGTCCTTTTAGGTAAAGTACGAAATTAAAAAAGTTCAACCAAGTATGAAAAGCTCAACTGGCTCTGAGGCCGGTTGAGTTGAGTTGGTTGAGTTGAGACTTGGAAAAAGGGAATAGTAATTGCGGGTGCCAGGGAAAGTGGTCAAGGGTCGTGACAACAGAAAATATTTTGCAGCGGGGAGATTTGAGTAGGCAACCCCGCCATCCACCAACATGCCCGTTCTTCTGTGAAGCCCGGAATCTTAAATCACTTACGCTTAATGAGTGCAATAGAGGATCAGTTTTCAACCCGCACTGCTGTACGTCATAGTTCTCAGTCAGTTTTAGGAACAGCGGGTTGTAGGTCACAATCGCCGGACGTGCGTAGTAGAAATAAGATGGTTTTATTGTATATAGTCCCACAACCCGATAGTCCTCTGAAGCTTTCGTATTTTTCTCTCGGCGTTCCCATGGCCTCTCCCTCCTTCTCTTCCCCCAAGGCAGCTCCAAATCTTAGTTTCCTACCTTTCCCCCCGTTCCCGGCTCCTCCTGCTCAGTCACCGCCTCGGTTCGCGCCGCGCAGCCCAGAACCCACTCCTCCACACTCTCAGCGGGGGACACTATCCAGTCTGCCAGCTTCCCCCCATCCCCCTCCCAACGACCCTCGATCCCCTGCTCCCCATCTTCGTCCCACCCCTCAACCTCCTCCCCCCAGCCCATCCCTTCTTCACTCCCGTCCCCGTACGATGATACTGGCCATCCTGCAGCAGCGCGTAAACGCTTCACGCGCCCACACAGCGCGTGCAGCTGCAGGAGCAGTGGGTGCGGGAGCTGCCACCTGGCCGGAGGTAGTCAACGTGATGACGTCGCCGGAGGCAAGCTTAGTACTCGATAACTTCTCATGCGGCACGCTGGAGTAAGTGAATCGATCCAGCGCCACCAGTGCAAGGCCGGGGAAGGAGAGTCTTATATCGTACTGGGGATGTTAGCTGTATATACGCGGGGAAAAAAATGGAAAAAAGGGGAGGGGGGTGGTGCACTTACGCTAGACACGACGCTGGGGTCATAGTCGCCGGTCCAGGTGCCGGAACCGGGCACCGGCAACATCTCGATCAAACCATCGTCAAAAAGACCATGTGGGCGCAGTTCGAGGGTCATACGTTCGCCAACTCGCCCTGCCTTTCCCCCCGCGCCCCCGTCCCCGCCCTCAGCCAGCTGCAGCGTAACCCTCCTCACGCTCTCCGCACCCCCACTACCCAAGAAAACGCTCAAGGAACCCCAGAACGCGCCCGCCTTTGCGTCCCGGACCGAAAATGGGATGATGTGGGCAACGTGGAGCGGGTAGGGTGGAGGCGCGGTTGCTGCTGTTGCGGGTGCGGTGGGTTGAACGGGGGTTAGCAAGGGTGGTCGTGGCGGCGGCGGCGGCGGCGGGCGTGCGAGTAGGCATCGCTGGGGCCGGGCTCTCTGCTGCGGCAGTGGGGGAGCGCGAGGAGGACCCAACAGAAGTAGACGGCCGGGATGGAGCGGGAGATCCCCCAGCGCCACTAAAAGCCCTCAGCGCAGCCGTAATAGTGTCCGCCCACACTACCAGCTCCGATCCCGGTACCCCCCCGCGCGCGAGCCTGGTCAAAAAGACGCCCTCCCCCTCTCCCTCTCCCTCCCACTACTCCGTGGTCGGTACATGGAGCACAAACCCCGTCACCACACTGGTCAATGACACCCTCATCTCACCCGTCAGCTCCGGCGTGTTCTCCGCTCCCAGGTTGTGCATCGCACTGTTGTACAGCGCCTGGGTGGCCTCTGGCAGGGTTGCAATAGCGCTATAAAGAAAGGTTGTGAATTGGGTTAGAATTGCCATAACTGTAAGGTTGCATGTAATTAATGAATTAAACTAAAAAAAAAAAAAGAAATGCATGGGTTAGAGATAGCGGCATAGCTCCCCGCAGACAGTACGGTATGGTTGCGGACTCTCGTCTTATATAGGTGTTCAAGTGAATTGTATGCATAAGATAGATAGATGAATGGTACATGTACGTACTTCTATTAATGATGTCTCTAGGAAGGGAATTCGGAAGGGAGGGGCCGCCTCAATCTCCTGTATCCCTTAGTACTATCAGTCTGACCTCTTGTATAATTTATGTAATCTATGGTGGCCTAGTACTGCCAAGACATCTGTCCTTCTCCGACCAGAAGATACTCTAGAGCCCATGGGCCCAGCTCTATTTGCGCAACGTCCCTAATATAGCAGAGATAATGCAATATGATGAAGTGCATAGGATAATCTGGTATTACTGCTCGTCGTTCCCATCTAAACTAGCGACAACGTTTAGTGTATTTAGTATGACAAGTATCCCTTAGTCTGTCAATGCTGACCCCCCTATCCCTTTGTCTGTCAATAAAATGCTGCCCCCCTTCCCCAAGAAAAACAAACCTGGTTTGGCTTTAGGTGGAGCGGACCGACACCTCGTGACACGGGTGGAGGAGGCAAGCTCAAGGTCTGATTCGAACTTTTAGTGGAGTTCGTGGGTGTCGCGCCCCGCTGAAGGTTGACGCAATCTAGAGGTGGGGGTGGAGATGGAGGAAAATTATAAGGGTTATATGTAGCTTAGGGCTACAATACGGGAAAAGCGGGTAAATCAATCACGGTAGATAAGACACTACCGAGTGATCCCCCATGACTCACTCGGTGGGTAGGAACGAGCTTATGGTGGAGTCGGTGTGCGCACTCGTGATTGTTTGGTGGAGGTGGAGGTGGAGGGGGCATCGAGGTCGAGGTGGACGTGGAGGTGCAGATGGACGTGGAGGTGCAGGTGCGCGCAAAGGTGGGGGTGGATCTAGGTGTGATGGTATTGTCGGGCTACAAAAATAACTACGCACCAACGACAACCACCAACCATCAAAGTAGGTATATTTCGACAGTCACAATAGATATGAGAAAGATGATTCTATATCTATGAATCTAGAGAGTTAGAGGACTATATGTAGTACTCTTGTCCATGGCCGGAATGAAACGGATTGGGAATCGTGTCTGGTTGCTATGCGGGGTGCGTAGTTATTTTTGTAACCTGGCAATATATACGGCCAGCTTGCTTTCTTGACAGTGGGCAGCCGCTTGCCGGGGTGGAGTGGAGGAGGCGAGCGACCTCCTGTATGGAGGGGGCGGGAAAGGGTAGGTACACGATTCCGGCGTGGAATCACCGGAGGCGTCGATCGCCGCGCATTTAACCCTTACCAATTGTCCTTTCGGTACTGGATTGAGCGTTCACTCATCCCATTAAGATTATATTTACCGTCACTATCAAGTTATATTTACAATGTATATGTATATAACTTACCTCAGATTAGACCACCATCACGAAGGATAGATATCATACGAACCAGCAGGACCACCTCTCTACCGTGAAATCTTACTTTTGCTTAAGAATCCATTTTACCTACATATAACACTTTCCCTCTCTAGTATAATTAGCTGTTCCCTCTAGAGTCGCTAGCTGGTTACCTCCCGCAGTTGCCCACCTCCTCCAATAGTGTAAGTTTAGACATATTTTCAGTCCCTTCAGTTAATAATAAGCTATCTCGACTCATGCCATCTCCAATTCATGCCACCTCCAACGCCATTCCCTCCAGGAGTCTCTGGTTCTTTCCAAGTTCTAATACTGAGTTCGGCATGCATTCCAGCTGGGGTGAGCCGGTTGCTAGAGAGTTCACACTTCCCAAACCACCCCCTCTTACTCCCGATCAATCAGAGTGAAAAAGTTTCAGATAACCGAAAGACAATATCTACATACTAGAGTATTAGAAGGATATCAGATACGATAGATAGGAAGAAGAAGAAGAAGAAGAAGAAGAAGAAGAAGAAGAAGAAGAAGATATTATATCTTAACGGTCGGATCAACTGTGGCTTAATGCGCGTTGCTTGGCTCACAGGTTAGATCCATCAAACATAACATGGGCCCTCTGGATGGGTCGTGGGTCATTTAGGTCAATCGTGCAAATTGCAAGACCAGTACTCATATTCATGTTTTTAAGATTCCATTTCTACCACGCCACTAACATTAGCTATTATTTATGCAAGCTGTTATTAATTCACTTGAACACTGCAAACCCAAGACATCTAGCACATTACAATCCGATGGAGTTCTCCATATACCAGTATCCTTTCCTTGAGACACATTATAAGGGAGCTAGCACAGCGAACGCCGGGGCAGAGATGTTGGCAAGAGATGGTATGGGAGATTTGTGTGGACCTTCTCATTGTCACCGCAATTACCGGAGATCAACAGGGTAACATCTATTATCATCATCGATCATGCAGTCATATGGATCTGTGGCCCATGCAGTGACTTTGGAAATATTGTCCGCTCAATACATATTGTTCAAGACCTCGTGCGATCTTGTGCTAGATTCAGGTGTATTTCAAATAGTGCATTGTAAAAGGTCCTTACAGGTTTGATAGTTGAGGTTCAGTATAAGGGTAAGAAAGGAAAGGCAAAATATGATGACATTTCTATACTCTAATACAAATTTGATCTCTTTTCATCATTCGCACAACACCACCCAAAGAATAAATGGTGACACAGGTCATACAAAACATGAGCGCAGCTACCATATATAGCGTACACATCTGTATTCGGATGTTCTCCACTGCTGCTCTCCGACTTGGGGGTATCTTCTCTAACAGTAGGCGTAACCCGACATCGCCATCGCAAGCGTATGAGTAGCAGGCCCAGTAACTGGCTATATCCTATATAAATAAACAGCCAATACTTGGTATAAGAGACACGAATATTATCAGAAGGGTTAAGACTAGGTAGGTAACTCATGTTTGAGGCATCGAAAGACTCAGCCAGTTTGATGTCGCTCTTTCCATGCGTCATCAAGACGATAACCAAGTGTGGTGCTACTACTGCGAGTAGTATTAGAATGAAGCGAAAGCTCTGCAACAATCACTCCTTTTAACAAGAATGTTAGTAAGGAAATAGCTTTTACATGTATCGGTATTACTTACAATTCGACACCGGGCAGTTCCAGAATACTTACGAGTGCCCGTAGGGATCGTGTCGAATCCCCCGTACACAATGCCGACTGCACCACCGAGCAAGAGTCTGTTTCCGGACCCCCGCCCATTCCTCATGGACGTTCTAGAAGACTGCACCTCTTCCCCCGGTTTCGTTGACGGTTGTGCACTCACGAGGTTCTGTGACTCCACGGAAGCTGGGGGCATTTGAGTACCTCGATAGTATACTAGGATCATTGCTGGGCAGCCAGGCTCGAAAAGAGCTGCTAATAGATTTATCAACGACATGATTAGGTATGGTGTGGTCGCGAATGAGTATCCACCAACTCCGAAATTCGCAATTTAATTGGGCCGAGCTAAGACTATAAAGCTGATAAGAACCGTAAAATATCTGGCCAATTCCCGCAAGATACGCAGTAACGTTGTAATTGCTGGCTAGCTCCGGTCGTTTTGATAGCTCCGCTGGATGATGTGACTGGCATGTTTCGAGGCTACAGGTCATGCCATGTATTGATTGGGAAATTTTTCCAATCGTGCGATTGTACAGTTTAGAACAGTAACTAGGCTTCGAAACGTTGGAATCTAGGCCTAGGGGAATGTTGGTAGATAATGGACCAATGTCAAAATGTGTTAGTACCTTGATCAAACGGTACGTATACGGACGCATTGGATGGCTTCCAGTGGATTCAGCGGTGGAGGGATCACGCCTCCGGGTGCGACGGTTGCCCCGTTCGTCCGAAGCAGTCCAGCTTGAGACGAAATTTCGGAATAAATATCGATATCCGAGACGTTTTACTGGGTGTTGCCCATTGATTTTAGTTAAAGCAGGATATATTTCTTTTCTGGTATTGTAAGCAACAATCAAATTAATATCAAAGGAGCACGGTTTGTATACATTTCGACTGCTCGGTCTGCGTCCTGCGACACGGCCTTGTTAACTTCAGCCATCCCAGGCTCCATGATATATCTGATATGGCGATAAGTGGCTCCGGGCTCAGGATAGGCGTCCTCCGATTCCTGAACCATACACACCGCACCCGCCCTAAGAGCAGCCTTTAGATCACCCGGCTCACCACATGGGGATCAATATATTGATAAGATGGCCCTCGAAGCCCCCAGAAGAGGCAGACAAACCCCTGTGAAAATATCAAGGCACCTTAGGACTGTACTACTTCCTGGGTATGATTTGACAGTAACAGCATGGAGGATGAAGTTGAAGAAAATGAACTTCAGAATGTCAACCCAGTCAGTAGGTCGGCAGACCTCGTCGCCCTTATGGGCTGTGAAACCATCAGTTGAGACGTTCATGAAAGGTGCGAGGGTTTATATATAAAATAATATGAATTTAGGAATTATGAACGTCTAAGAATTGTGAACGTCCGAGTATAGGTATCTTCTTCTACCGTAGGTTGTGCAGCTGGGAAGATTTAATAAGAGTTGAATTTTTACCTGTAGACATGCAGCACGCTGGTGGGATGCAGCCAACAAGCGTTGTAAAAGCATAAGTGTGCATTATGTATGTTGCTAAATTTTAAATCACTCTGATCCTCATCCTCAGCTGACCATTCGCCATACTGTCACAATCGCAAGTGGGGGCATGAATACAGGCCTAGCTAGATCCGTCAAGATATTGTCGGATATTTATTCATTTTTTACACAATGTCAATGGCGTTAGATAACCATGAGCGGAGTGAATAGTAGGGACTGGAGCGGTAGACCCGATTTAATTCACGCAAAGAGACTTCCACGAGAATTCAATTAAGTGTCGGGGGAGTTGAGTGCACAAGCAAGTCATCTGTAAGTATACTCACAAACACAGCTAGCTATAGCTATGGCGCGAGAAGCTTTGGGGTGGGTTTTTCAACTTCGGATAATTTTTTGGTACGGGAAACCAAGGGGGGTATCACCGTTAGCCTAGGCTCTAACACCGTTATAGTAGTAGATCTTCCAACTTTTGGAGATTGATTGGTTGCAATTGTCCCTTCAGATTTCGACGAAGTTTACACAACTGCCCTCCATAGCTTCTAACGAAGTTTACACACCTGCCCTCCATAGCTTCTCGCGCCGCACACTATCATCATAAAACACTTCAAAAAAAATTGTTAATTGCAGCGTACTATGGGGCACATGTAGGGCAATACGTCACACCCCTGAAACTTGCATCTTAATTAACCGATAACTATAAGTAGTAGGTGTAAACACTTGAAGCGCCCTCTCATTGTCCAGCACCCTGTTTTCTACTTAGTACCTATCCCTTATAATATGAAGAAAGATAAGAAGATCTATCACGCAACTAATAGTAAAACTACCCTTTCTAAGGATCAGCATTTGCCTGACGGCGAAGAGGAACCTACTCTAGATATTATAATTAGCAGACCTGAATATGGAAGCTCGTGCTGCTAAAGTTGCGCCTGCCTCTATAGCTAGCTGACATGTCACTTTCTGATGAATACTCTACTCAATACTACTCTAGGTAAGTATTCCGTCCTTGAGTATTTCTCAAGCCAGCAGTGCGCGGAGACTACCGAGACGATTGCACTGTAGATTGCCAATTTATGCACGAATGCGCGTGCACGGTTGGTTTTCAATCCTATCTAGGCCCCCCATCTTTGCGAAGGAGTCGGAATGACAGGCTCAACTTCGCAGCTTTGTCCGTGCACGCACAAGCTTATTTGGTAACTTTCTTTTCTTTTCCAAAGGTAGGTCAAATCCACTACCGCATTAATTCGTTCGAACGGCCGGTCACACAAGACGTTGAAATTCCCGTATTTGGTTATTTGTCTTGAATACGCCCCCTAATCTTCCCTCATATTAGCTTGAAAAGGCAACTTCGACGTCTTGTGTGACCGGCCGTTCGAACGAATTAATGCGGTACCTAGTGTTAAGTCAAAGAGCAAAGCTGCAAATTTTCTAAGCGATGGAATGCATGTTCTTCAATTTTCGACTTAAAAGCTGAAAGGTTCTCCGCAAATCGAGGGGTACGTTCAATTGGTCCCTGCAGGTCTCAGATGTATCTGGGTACCCACGTATAGGAAATAAAGCTTATTCTGGTTCTTTTCCCGGTACACGAGTACACATTGAGTGAGCTGCATGCTACTGGACGCCTTCCCGTAAGCTATTGAATGTCTTCTATTGCAATAGAGAATGGTTTTCGAATAGACCAGGTTCCCGTAAGCATACGGTGTTTGATATATATTCCTAAAAATCTAATCAGCGCCTAATACAAATTGGGTATCGCGAGGCCATTTTTTGGGACTATTTCTCGCGCTAGTAAGGTGTCCTCCCTATTGCAACGGATAGAAAACGGATAGTGTTCATGAATCAAATAGACCACCCCCCCTTGGGGGGGTGGTCTATAAGAAACACATAGACACACTGTCCTATTCGTTAGAACACCAAAATTTGATCTATCCGGCGATAGAACGCCCGCTATAGCTTACGGGAAGGCGTCCACTATTTCATGCATGGATGATCAGCAGCGAGGTTCAGCTCAACTGTACTCTAGAGTACCATGTGTGATAAGTCACTGCCAGGTAGGTGTTACTGCGCTGCACCCAATTCTGAGCATGTCTCACCGAGCTCCGACCTCATTTTGTCTACGAATCTTGATCCTGTATGAAATAATATCTATGATACCATATGCATTACTCTCTACCAACCGCACTACTACCTACCGAGTGTGAAATCCTTCACACGCAAAGACTGGGCGCAGAAGCCGCAGCTAGAGTAAGAAGCATTGGTGTGAAGATTCGCCCTGCGCTGCGGTCGCTTGCCAGCAGGGAGATCCTCACATTAGATCGTTCAGACCCATAAATCTATTACCCCACTATCTCTACACTATATATTTCCAGTCAATACGCAACTTCACCGGAATTAATTCTTGAACAGTTCATCCTTTACCCCCCGCCGAAGCATCTCCCAACCTATCATTACCGAATATTTCTACTTTGCTCAGCAATGTTTCCCATCACCCGTGGCGCTACACGTCAAGTCGTATCCTTGAGTTACGGTGGTGCCGCCGTAACGAAAGGTGCTGTTGATACCGTTGTAAATGATCCCTTAGCCCAGGAAATCGCTGCACAAACACTTGCACAGTTCCTCCCGCCCCACATAGGAGATTCCATCCTCGAAATCGCAAATATTGTTTACCAAGAGTTTTCTGGGGAACTCATGTTCGTTGATGTCAATATCGCTCTGTCAGTTATCGCCATCATGCAAGGGCTGAGCAAAAAGCCGGTATACGACACACGGAAATTCTCTCGTGTTGAGGACAGTCCTATCGCGAAACGCTTCGCGCATTACATGAAGTATGCCGATGCTGCCTACGGGACAATCAACCCCCTCAAGACGGACGAGGAATTCATAGCGGACTATACGGGTATCCCGCGGTATAAGGTACAGCCATACGTCAACAAGAACGCAGTTCGCGGGAAAGCAATGCTTGAACACTTTGTGGCTGTGGATGACCGTGAGAAGTCAGTGATTGTGGCATTGAAGGGGACCGGAACTTTGGAGGCCGCGCTGAAGGATGTTCGATTCCTTTACACCGAGATTGACCTGTGGGGTCAAAGCTTCCAGGTCCATGGGGGGATGTGGGAGGCTGCGCAAGGGCTAGTTCAGTTTCCATTACTGATTTCTCAAGTGACGGAGGCACTGGTGGCGAACCCAGAGTACGGGTTGGTGGTGCTGGGGCACTCCCTTGGAGGGGGAGTCGCTGGTCTTGTGGCTCCCCTCCTCGCAGAGCCAGGCCCTGATGGTAGTTTCCTGACCAATGGGAAAACAGTCCCTGGAAGGAAGATCGAGTGTTACGGCTTAGAACCCGCGGCCTCCCTTGACGAGCAACTGCGACAGAAGACAAAGACCATGACTTACTCCCTTGTCAACAAGAACGATATCGTTCCAGCTCTTAGTTACGGAGTGCTCCAAGATTTCAAGGCATTTGCATTGTACCTGAAGCACAACACCTTATACCTGGGGTCTATTATCGATGGTCTTTCAATGAACAGGGTGGATCCCGACACCTACATGGCGAAGTTTCGTTCCATTGCGACGCACAAAAAACTTGTTCCTCCTGGAAGGGTTTGGGTGATAGATACTACAGATAATGGAACGCTCGAAATTGCAGAGTGTTTGAATGCGAACCAGAGGTTTGGAGAGGCACGCTTCATTCTTGGGATGGTGCAGGACCACATTTTATTTAATTGTTTCACCAGCATGGATGCTTTAAAGCATTTGTTCGAATAAGAGATGTACATACATTTTTGCTGCCAGCTCTTGTCGTGTTGAAATCCTTGTTTCTCTCTTGGAAGACACTAATATATACGTTGTTTCTTACTCCTAGCCCGTGATTATTCTCCTTGTCCGCAAAGCCCATCTCCACTATACCACTCTCGAGAATGAATTGATAAGTTCGCACATTACGCATAGGAGTGGTCGCGGGTAATGTGCTTGCTCATGCGCTTATTGTCAAAGGCCCCGGTAATGGCCGCAAACTATGCATTTTTCGGATGACACCCCCAGACTAGACCCTGACCGTGCCCTGAAGGAAGGCCCGAATTTCTCTCTAGTAACCACATATCTTCTAGCTTACAGTGTAATTATAATATCCGGAACATTAATTTGTTGGTAATGGGGTTAAGGCCGCTGGTCCGCATAGAGCAGCCAGCCAGAGAGCGATATAAGCTACAATTATCCTTCACTTTGTTCGGGGCATTGAAAAGTATATATTTTATGAAATCTATTTCCATTTTGCATTTCTCCATAGTCTCTTTATCATCCCTTAAACTAGGGACAATGGGATGAAATTAATGGGATGGAATAGAATCATTTTTCCCCAACTACGAATAGCTTTCCTGAGTTTCCTGATTCATTTCCCTACACATCGCTTATCAAACAATCGGTCGATGCTGACACCCCCATGCGAGACAAAAAGCCACAGCGCAATTGGGTAATAGCTCAACAAAAACCACAACATCCATTGGTTCTAGCCACCTCCTAGCATTTTCGAAGGCGTGTCAGCATTGTCTCGGCGGTTCATGAGACTCGAAAACCGGGCAGGCGCAAAAGCACATTGACGGTGAGTTAATCCTTCACATATTTCCTGGGCTCGATCGTTGGGCATATGGTCGTGCACGTTGGCTGTAGATCTCCCGGGTTCACTATTCCGTGTACAGGTTTTGAGATTATATATCTATATGGTAAAGCTTCAATAGTAGGGCAGTCGAGGTCTCTATAGCTGAGTCGTGTTTGTGGTGCGGGGTCCACTCACGACAAGTGATAATCGATGATTTCACCCAAATTTTCGCTTTATTCTTTAATATGATTTCACCCCGTGATTGATTGGTTGGTTGATTCATTAATGGTACCCAACCCGGCCAGGGCCTATAACAATATCTGGCATCCCAGAACTAAAATAGAAATTAAAATGTATTGAAATGAAAGAAAACAACAAAAGTAGAATCGTGATAAATAGTGATGGGCACGAGACTTAAAGTCTCGAGACCAGGTCTCGAGCTTTCCAAACGAGACAAGACAAGACTCATGAAAATAGTGTCACAATTGTCTCGAGACTATTAAGGGTTTGTGTCGAGATGTCTCGCGAGACTATTTTAGACCATTTTGAGAAGATTTGGACCCTTTGAGCCGGTTTTGGAGGCATTATACTTTTTCGAGAGAGATAGTTCTTCCATAGGATAACAATTAGCAAAAAATATTGTCCTATATTTCCCCTTTTTCACGAAGTCTCGAGAGGTCTCGAGACTTTGCCAAAAGTCCCGAGACAAGACAAAACCTACTAGCCCTAAATACAAGACGAGACAATACCACCCTAAATGTGGTCTCGTCTTGTCTTGTGCCCATCACTAGTGATAAAATCTCGCTTGATGGAAATCGAGGCTGAGATCCGCATGGTACCGGTAGAAGTGTTAATAGCAACGTTTCGGGACCGGGCTGCAGCGCCCAAAGGTGGAACCGTGAGTTCTATGGTAGGGGGACGTGCGTTCTCCGGTACAGGCTAGCAGCGAAGTCAAAACTTGTTAAAACCGTTGTATGAGGGTGTCACGTCAGGGTACGTTTGTGAAGTCAACAGTATTTGCAATGGTGCAAACCGGTATGAAAAAAATCACCGTATCGTACTAACTATACCACCACACCCTCGAAATCGTACTAACTATTTAACCGCCTCTTTTAGCATGGTTAAACCGGTGATGCTATTTTTCTAAGTGATATGTGGGTTAGGGTTCCTTTCTGGTGTTTGAGAGCTGCATGTTACTCCGGCGGGGCAAAGGTTCTACTGAAGGCAGCGGAAAAACAATATTAGTCTCATTTAGTTAGTTTTTTCGTATCGGTTTAGGATTTATCTTGTCTAAGCATAACCACATTGCCTGAAGCTCAAACTGTACTAACTATCTCATTATTGTTTAGTTTTGTACCGGTTTGTACTGCCGAACCGACGTCTCATTGCAAACACTGGAAGTGAAGGGGTCGATCTATCTCTAGTAGAAGTTTCGGCCTTGTAGCTTGGTAGGTTGGTAATAGTCTAGTTCTGCTTTTGGCTCGCCCCGTGGTTGCGAAAGGATGTCATACATAGGGGCATGCGACCGAGTGATAAACCATGATGAACGTGCGATATTTGTACGAGTGATATTATATGATTATACAGTGGAGGCGAGGTCGATTGGTTAGGGTAGAAGTACTGGTGTCGGTATGGTGCGGCATTAGCTGGAAGATCGAGATCCTGGTATTGGCGGTAAAGCCTGATGTGCTGTTAACAGGTCAGACACCTTTAATCGTACTCTCCCGCCGACGGCCAGACAAATTATTTCATCCCATCCCCTAGAGAACCCATTAGCTCATGTAATGACAATCTTAGGCTCGTCACCCACGGGACATAAGCCAGAGGACAAGCCTGGATCTACTCCATCGACATACCGTCAGTAGTATACACTGTAGTTTTAGTCGCGCGAATAGCGGATACAGGTCGATAGTGGTGGACACGAGACAAGAATAAATTGATCGAAGCCTCGTTCGGATTTTGATTCAAATTACTAGGTACTAGGTACTAACGTATTTCACCGTGTACCCGTTGATCACAGTGTACCCGTGCGCCACTGTCTCAGATATTGTCTCAGGCTCACTGGCACTATTCGGTTGCTCAATTGATGGGATTACGGCTTTTATTTTTGAGATCGTGATCTTAAGGAACGCGATGGTAGTTCTATGGAAGAGCGTACAGATCTTTTTCTAAGTTTAAGAGGAGTGTATATAGGAACAAATCCTTCGCTGTCTTCCCCACTAAAGTGAATAGATTCGGATTCAGAATCCAACTCAATATCAACGGTTTTTTTGATGCTAACCGTTTTCTTTGATTTCCCAGATACCTTTGCGCCCTTAGCATCCTTGATAGCCTTCTTGTCCGCCTTCGCCTTTTCTTTCTTTTCCCAATCCTGTCTCAACCGAACTGCTTCCTGTGAGGACACTACAAGCGCTTTTGAAAGGACCTTTCTGCTGTTCACTTTATGCGAGTCAGTTGTTGCTTTGTTTTTCTTGAGCAAGTGATCCAATTCCTACTGCAAGACAACAACCTGTGCAGCATTCTCAGCAGCGCTGGTAGATAATTTTCCAATCATAACCTTCAGACTACCAGATGAGGTAGGGTTTTTGATAAGAGCTATGGTACGGCGGGTGTGCGCAACAATGCTTTTTCCATGTCGAGGTGTCCTTGGTACGCATTCATCTATCTTTTCAGCCACAGCTGCGGCTTTGGCAAGAGAAGACTTAACTTGGCATCTAGGGTTTAGAGGGTTGATACCGGTGGCCTCGAAGTCACTTAAAATGTTTTTCTTCGTAAAGGTGAGCTTTCTGGCTTGTAGAAGTAATCTGAAGCGGGTTAGTGATTGTCTTTGGTATTGTAGTGAGAATAATACTTACGGGTAAAATGTTCCTTCATGAATGCCAACATTCCCGTCTTGTAACCATCCATCAAGAGTATTAGAATAATTCCGTTGGTAGGGACCAAATAAACCAACATCTAAACGTTGTAACAGATGTGTGGAGTGCGCTGGTAGGCATAAGGGAATAATTTTGTTCGCTAAACAAAATGAGAAAAACTGCCAAGTGCAATGTGAGACATGACCGTCTATAATTAATAGCCGTGTTCACCCAGTGGCACTATGAAATACAAGTGGTTTCCGGCCTTCGGCCGGTTAGGACAATGAAATCAGCTAGGTAGTCTCGTCCAAATGTGACAGGTCGTCTTGGAAATGTGACAGGCCGCTTGGAAATGTGATATATTGACAGAAAGTGATATATTGCATGTACGCTAGGCTCACTCAGGACTAGCGCGCAGCATTGCTGGGTGAGGATCCCCAGATCGCCTCCAACTCCACCGCCACCTCTACCTCCACCTCCACCTCTACCTCTACCTCTACCTCTACCTCTACCACTACCTCTACCTCTACCCCTACCCCTACCTCTACCCTACCCCTAACCCTACCTCTACCTCCGCCCCTCCTACCTGCCTCCATATTGACACCTATGCTAACGTCCACATAGACTCTTAATTCGACACCTAATACCCGCCCAAATCGACGTCCAAATCGACGCCCAAATCGACGCCCAAATCGACGCCTAGGAGGCATCAAATCGAGCACCGCCTCGCGCACCGCACCTAGCACCGCCTCGAGCACCGCACCTAGCACCGCACCTAGCACCGCACCTAGCACCGTTTCGAGCACCGTTTCGAGCACCCTTTCGAGCACCGTATCGACCACTGGCGCAGGCGTAAGTAGGCGTGCAGGCGCAGGCAGGAATTAGGCGCTGGGAGGTGGTAGGCGCGGGTGCGGGCGCGGGTGCAGACATATGTACATAGCATTATATTACTATTATTACTGCGCATGGTTCTGCCATTGGTGATATCGGGTGAGAATCCTAGGAGGGTAGCGATTGACATTGGAAGATTCTTGGGAGGTAACGATGGACATTGGGGTGTTCCAGGGTGCTTGGAGCGGGTGTTGGGTGACACGGGTGCTGCGAGCGGGTATTGGGTGATACGGGTACTGCGAGCGGGTGCTGATAGCGGGTGCTGCGAGCGGGTGCTGCGAGCGGGTATTGGGTGACACGGGTGCTGCGAGCGGGTGCTGCGAGCGGGTGCTGGGTGACACGGGTGCTGCGAGCGGGTGCTGGGTGCTGGTTCAGGTAGGGTAAGGCTGCTAATATTCGGGCGCGTCGCTGTCGTTGGGTTTCCCCTCTTTCCCTTTTTCCTTCGCAACACCTTTTTCCTTCGCAATACCTTTCGCAACACCCTTCGCTTGCGAGTTCAAACACACAACACATAAGAGAGAGTTCAAATAAGATAGAAAACCGGATATTTTGGTGCTTTGCCCTTGATATCCTTCTATACTTAAGTGTACAATCACTTATTGTTGTTGTTGTTGTTGTTGTTGTTGTTGTTGTTCTTGTCTATTCCCCTAAAATTCTGATTACTACCTGACTCACCTACAGCTTCTACAAACCCGATCCACAAAAATACCTCCTATCCGATCCACAAAAATACCTCCTATCCGATCCACAAAAATGCCTCCTATCCGATCCAAAAGAATACCACCCCCCAAAGCATATAAAAAGGCCATCAATGAAATTGCTATCTATCTAGCTAGCAAACCCTCTCTTCTGCAGAAAATCAGAGATAATAATATTGATTCTCTTGTTTCTTCTATTAAGAGAGAGTTCTGTAATGTTGCCGATGGAGTGAACGATGGCATTTTCAATGATATTGCAGCTTTCCTCAACCACCCCAAACAAATGAAGGAGCCGAATTGCCATGCAGAGCTAAGAGAAGCGATGAAGCAGAGGAAGGAGGAGAAGGAAAGAATTAAAAGAATCAAAGCTTTATTTGTTCAGGAGTGTAACCTCAAGGAGGACGATGCAAGGAGAGACAAATATTTGGAAAAGTTTACGATTGTGGAAGTAACCCGATATCAAACACCCTACCCTCCACCCAGTAATTGGGTGTATGAGTCCGAGCAAATCCATGACATTTGGCATGATCACCTCCAGCTTGGTAAGCCGAAAGACAAAAGGCTGAAAGTACCACCGATGCTACTTTTGAAACCACAATATCTACAACTAGATGTTGCCCAAGACCAAAACTACATTTTTGTCGATTCCAACACCAAGGAAATTGTTGGATTGGTTGCTAGGAATTGGATGGCCGAGGGCAAGAAAGAAACTCTAGATTGGGTCAATGAGATTATTATCAAGGAATGTCAGGTCAGGAAATCAGTCCGAGTAAGTATTATTTCTTTCCAAATTTTACTATTGCGATTGCTAATTATTTCTTAGCTTGAAGATACTGGCAAACTTTGTCAAATGGGATATTCAGCTGGTTCCAGAAGCAAAGCCAGTTTCGATTGGGTTAGAAATATCACCTCCAAGAAAAACCGATTAAAAGACTTTGAGCACTTGGGCAGCTATATTTTTGCTCTTCTTTGGAACATGAGTAAGGGTAGATTGCCGAAGACGATTATTGAGGATATAACTGGGTTTTGCAATTCTACCCTAATGCCGAGAATGAATTATGCTGCTAAAGACAGGGCTACTTCCCAAATCTGGGGGAACTATACTGTGAGAGTGGGAGCCGATGACATTGAGTTTGACTGTGTTCCGATGGCACCTCCTTCTGGATTTATCGCATATAATTATGCAAGGTAATAGTCACTCCGAGTACTTATATTTCATTGTTACTAATTAATTATAGGGGTACTCATAATGAAAAGTGCCCTCATAAGTATGCATTGTTCTGGACTACAGCTAGGACATATGGATCCGAGGAGGGGGGTCACTTCTTCATTGCCGATTATGGAATCAGAATCAAACAGTCAGCCAATTCAGTGGTAGTTTGGAAGCCGACTGATTTTCATGGTACTACTTTATCAGTAAAGGGCCCTACCGATGAGTCTGATTCCCATCAAATTGGTATGAGTATTGTCACTCCTGTCCGATTGTTAAAGTTGTGGGAAAAATATCAACAGGAACAAATTACTGCCGATAATGTTGAGGCTATTTTGGTTGAGTCCGATGATTCCGAAGAGGAATAAATTGTTATTTCCTATATTATGTATTGTTATTATTGTTGTTACTGAAAATCTCCACTCCTGTATTAAGTACCAATAGTTCTAAAAAATTGTTTTAAAAAATTGTTTTAAAAATAAAAAAAAAAAAGGAAATAAAATCTTATAACAAAAGACTTCTATATACAATATTTTTAACTTTGTTTTTATCCCCGATATCAATAACTGAAATATCATGATCCAATAAACATCTAATATGGTCTCTATTTCTGACTCGGGAAACACTCGTATTCAGTTGACCATGTGCAAATACAGGAGTTCTGAGATCGATTACAGCTCTATCGAGTGTTAGGCCTTGACAACTATTGAAGGTTGTTGAGTATGCTAGTCGTAAAGGGAATTGTCTTCTCTGTACTGTCCAAGAGCAATATTTTGGTTGAAACTCAAATACGATTCAGGGGAGGCAGAAAACAGTTGTATCCCGTCGAATATTATCTGCAGTAGATATCAATTCAACTTTGACAAATCTTTCATATAGCTCTTTAATAACTACTCGGGAATTCTTAACCAAGCCATTCTCCAGTGATAGATTTCGCATAATCGAACAAACACACCCGACCTTCAAAACCAATTTGTGTGTAGGTACACCAGGCTCCTTCAACATAGATAGGAAATCTACAATCTCCCCCGATGGTAGAATGTTGGTAGTCGGGGATGTGAAATTAGGATCTTCTTTGATGCAATCGTGGCTGTAGTATGTTCTTTCTGTAATAAATAATGTATCAGTATATTGTAATTTTTAATAGTAAGGAAAATAAATATACATACCCTCCATTGTCGGGAATCTTTCAAAAATCGCAAGGTTAAATTGATCTACATTGATATTCAAAGGACTAAGAAAAGCACGATGGGAAACAATCGCTGGATTTTGCAATACTTCTGTTGGAAATAGAAAGTCAATTGCCTCCTCGATTGAGTTCAAAGACTCAATTAAATCCAGATTGACAAACGATTCATTTGATTCTTGACAACCATCTCCAATTTTGTCTACCCACTCGGCGTATTCTAAATCAGAGGCATTTCTTATAGGTGTATCCAATCGTAAAATTTTGAATTGTTCCCAAAGGTAGGATGATCGTATAGATGCTTCAAGTGTAGCTGTTGGTCCTGCAGACTTAACCACTGGTGCTACCTGTCGAAAGTCACCTAAGCCAAGAAATACTTTGCCACCAAATGGTTTGTCGTTGGCAAGTACGAGTTGCAAGAACTCATTTGCACATTCAATTGCTGCTTTGTTGGCCATAGGCATCTCCTCCCATATAATTAAGCTTGACTTCGATAGTAATTTCGCCCGATCTGATCTGATACTCAAAGTCGATTGTAGCTCCATATTGTTCTAATATCGTAATGTCAGCGACTGACTTTACTAAAACCTTCTCATAGGACAACTTTACTTCAACGACAGGAATACCAAATGCAGAATGTGCAGTACGACCTCTCTCATATAGTGTAACACTCAAAGCTGTCGAACCAGTAATAACAACAATATCTCCTTGCCCTCTTAGATAATTTACGATCGTATTTACAATATATGTTTTGCCCCGACCAGCTTTTCCATCCAGAAAAAAACATGTATGTTCAGGAATCTCCCCGATTGCTATTTTATCCATATTGTTCATGATAGTATCAAAAGCATCTAGCTGTTGAGGTAATAACTGTTCCCGAGATAATATTGCCATCTCAGTAAGTTCGATACTACGATGATCTAATGCAAGAGTCTCCATAGATATTTCATCTGTGAGGTTTTGAGGTTGGGGTAACCCAAAATCAGTCAACCTACTACCTTGAGCAGCCAAATGTCTTGCAATCCCCTCCAAACATTTATTCATAACCATTATCGGGGAATCGTATTGGTCAAGATAATCTGCCGAGAGAGCCTCCTGATATTCCTCGAACAATTCAATTGCTGTCACTGGAATATTCATCAGGAGATGTGCAAACAGGAATCGTAGTTGGTTAGGACTGCAAAAGCTTTGGACAGCTTCTGCCATAATTTCTTTCCCCTCCGACTGATTTTCGAAGATAAATAATGCTGCTGCTGCCTCTTGGAATGTTGAGTATGTAATTTGATTGACAATTTTTAGGTCCTCGAAACAATAAGCTGATCGATACAGTAGAAGAGCTCGCAGGTAGAATAATTCTCCAGTTCTAGGGGAGACTGTATCGATTCAGGCTATTGCTTCATTCCTCCTCCTAGCTCTTACAATAAACTGTGGATAACTATTGTATATTTCTTCAAGGAAATCGGTATCTTTGAAAGTGGTTGACGACTTCGAGTACAGAATCCACTTCTCATAGTATTGAATATAAGTCAAATCTTGGAAAACTGTATCTCGGGGCCTAGAGAAATATTTAAGCAAAGTCGATGCTGTAGATTCTCCACCATCCTTTCGATACATTTGATGCATGTTTCTTCCAGGTAGATGAACTGTAAGCGATTTGACTGCAGGCGATCGATCTGTTATATGGTATTGCAGGATTCTCCATGCTGCCTCTGAAGCAGACAGATATCTCGCATTAATATAGTCATTGATCTCGTCAACCTCCTGCTGTCCTTCAACATTGAAAGAAAATAATGTTCGATCGGGTCCTTTAAATAAATATTTATACAGATACATGAAAATATTAACTGTAAAACATATATCGACATTAACATGACATTCTAGTAGCTTAGTAAGAAATGGCATAGACGATGCTATCCATCGATCCTCTTCCTTTCTTCTTCTAAACTGTACTCGACCATATTGATTAAGCTCTGTAGTTTCCCGAATCGCTTGTGGGTATCCCCAAATACAGGATCCATTTTTGTTACACCGACTGTTGGGAGAATTTAAATGTGTTTGGGGGTGTTGATTGAATCGTAGAACCAATTCTCGTAGGACAGGATCTTCCTCTTCTGTAGGTACTTCGGTAGAGACAATGGAATCAATAGCAGAGAAAGGTAACTCGGGATTCACCTAAAAAATTTTAGCATCAACCTCAATTGGGGTTTCGAATTATCTTACTTTAATAACAATATGTGCATGTGGTAACCCCCTTTTTTGGAATTCTATAACCCGAACAATGTAAACTATTGTTCCTAAATGGCTCCGAATTTTGGCAATGGCATTCTCTAGCTTTGCTTTAAATACCCGACAAACAATAATTGGTATATATGAGGCATTCTGTCCTAGATTCAATCGTTCTTTAATTTCTGGCCAGTTAGGATTTGTTGTAATCGTAATAAAAAATGAGGGTTTGCCTCTTGACCGACAGATAGCAAGAGAGTCGGCAACCTCATTCGATGCCCATGCTCGGGAACCTAGGAAAGAGTTCGGTAGTGTCGTGCCTTTCTCGATGGGTAAATCACCTTCTGCCTCTGCAATTTCAGATTGCTGGTTGTATTGTCTCTCTCGTCCTTTTCGTATATAGTCCAATCTTTCATCTTCTACTCTCGAGTACATATACACCAAATATCCTCCACACAATCTACCAAACCTCAGAAATCGGTTCTCTGTTGTGAGCCTGGCTCTATACAATCGAATTTGACTGATATCGGATTTGCAGTCCCAACCAGGTGTACCATGAGGAAAGAAAACAGGATATTGTAATGGCTCGTAAAGGGGACTTAATATACTGATAGCTTTTGGACGATCAAGAATATTGTTGTAAACTAATACACTCCGAGGGTAGACTTTTTGTATATTGTTGGCATGTATAATCGCAGCAATTTCTCCACCAGTTGTTGGTGTATATAACTCTAGTGCAAGTGGGGTATCTGTTGCAGTAGTGAATGCTGCTCGGAGATGGTAAACAAAAGGATTGTTATCTTCTAGTAGTTTTCGAAAGCTGTTAACTAGGGAGGAGGGTACACCAAGCTCAAGAGCTAATGAGTCTCTTGATTCCTCATCGTGAAGAAACCATCGAATTGAATGTTGCCCTTGGTTGGCATCCAATAACTGATGGTATACTCGTCCTGTTATAGCAACATTTGAAGGTGTCGGTAACTGCCGAAATCCACCTGTAACTCCTAAAATTGAAAATGAAAAAATATTGTTGAGTTTTCGGCTGATCCTACTCAACTGAGTGCCATGTTGCTCAAATTCAATTTCGGTATCGGGAGAATATACTGGTAGGGGGGGTAATCGATATTTTCCATTAGTACAACACCAACCATTATTCTCACTAGTTAATAAAGCTGCACCACAATAGGTGCATTGTTTTGACCAAGTAATAATATATGGTCGGAGATGAATTGTTTTTGTGGGTAAAATATTCCACCAATTGTTAGACGATGAATTTGACTCTACATTGTTTTGGTTTTGGGTGGATTGTCGGCGATTTGTAATTTGTTGTTCAGCTCGAGAATTTAATCGCATCTCAATTCGGTCTAATTGGGAGCTAGAGGCTTGAGAGTTTCTATTTCTTCTTGTTCGGATCCGATTCGATGTTCTGGAATCATCGATTGATTGTCTGGAATTGGTTCTTGGCATCTTTGCATTAAAAATTGTGTTTAATATAGAACTCTGTCGCTCAATTCCTAAAGAGGGATACACAATAGTTATATATGCCATTGGTAATCATACACTCTTCCTACTAAAAATAAAATAGCTAACGATAACTCACAAACCCATATATCTCATACCGACCTATTCTACTCAGAACCAAGATCCTCAACAATATCATCCTCAATATCTTCAAACTCGTCATCGACAGAACAGTCATTAGATACACTCGAAGCTTTCTTTTTACCTGTTGTAGTGGGTTTGGAAATAGAAGATGAGCTAACAGTGATTTTTGGAGGGGGGGATGAACTTGAATACAAACTTGAATCATATATCGCAGATCTTTTTTGAGCCCGAGCACCCCAAGATCTTCCAACATTTTTAGACTCTGATCTACCTGAGGATTGTCCAATAGACCCACCCCCCGATCCCGATTGCATTACTGAAATGTAGTTTAATGACGACACTATACAACCAAGAAAAGAATGTGATGATGCATTATCAACGATAACTCTACCAACTAATTTCCCAGTGATTTGGATGACACTATCGATTTGGGGTAATTTTGTGCTCTCCCACCTCTTTCCTGCTGGTATATACCACCTAATAACGAAATACCTTCGGAAAGCTGATTTGGAGGCAGCCTCTAAATCGTAGTAGGAGGATCGTAAATCAAAGGATCTCCAGCCTATAGAGAGAGACTTGATAGTACCCTTAGGTTGTCCTACAACCTTCCCGACTGAGTATATAGTGGCATAGGAGGGTGCAGGGGCTATATCGTCAAAACGTGGATGTGTCGGGTCACCAGCAAATCTAAGTGTGAAATTATTAGTTCTAATATATTATACAGTAAATCAAATTACTTACTCGCTCTTACTCATTAAAGTAATGACAACTGGTTTGTCTTTACCCATATCGCAGAATCTGCCTGAACATATTCCAACAGAGTTTTCGGTGGATTCTGTGAGAGAATCGCTGACAAAACAAACGATTCGGCATAGTATATCTTCCTCGTCGATTACTGAATTTGGTAGATCATCGCTCCAGCAAAATAAAGTAGAATCGTAGATTTTGAGATAGCCAGTTTTGTCTGTCTTGTTGGTGAATTCCAGCATGCAGTGAATATCAGTAGAGGCATTCTCATTGAATATTTGAGGCATCGTATCAAAAGATATTGTAGGTAGAGAGTTTTGATATTGATTGTTTAACTAAAAAATAATGTGCGATCGAGAGTAACTTTAAACTAAAACTCTAACAATCAAAACTCTGACTAACTCTAACAATAATAAAATGGCAGCATAAGATTCCGGAATCGCCACTGACATCATTAGATGGAAAAAGCAATATACCTGCCCCCGAATCGCCACTAACATCAAAAGAGGGAAAAAGCAATGTCCCTTCCCGAATTCAATAGAAAGAAAAAGTAAGATCCCCGATTCGTCACTAACAGCAATAGAGGGAAGAAGCAATGTCGCTAACCCCGATTCAGCACTAACAGCAATATAGGGAAGAAGCAATGTCACTAACCCCGATTCGTCACTAACAGCAATAGAGGGAAGAAGCAATGTCGCTGACCCCGATTCAGCACTATCAGCAATATAGGGAAGAAGCAATGTCACTAACCCCGATTCGGCACTAACAGCAATAGAGCGAAGAAGCAATGTCGCTGCCCCCGAATCGCCACTAACAGCAATAGAGGTAAGAAGCAATATACCTGCCCCCGAATCGCCCCTAACATCAAAAGAGGGAAGAAGCAATGTCCCTGCCCGAATTCAATAGAAGGAGACGATAAACTCCCCGAATCGCCAATAATAGCAATAAAGGGAAAAAACAATATCCCTACTCGAATTCAATAAAAGGAAAAAGTCAACTCCCCGATTCGCCACTAACAGCAATAAAGGGAAGAAGCAATGTCGCTGACCCCGATTCGGCATTAACAGCAATAGAGGGAAGAAGCAATGTCGCTGCCCCCGATTCAGCACTAACAGCAATAGAGGGAAGAAGCAATGTCGCTGCCCCCGAATCGCCACTAACAGCAATAGAGGGAAGAAGCAATATACCTGCCACCGAATCGCCCCTAACATCAAAAGAGGGAAAAAGCAATGTCCCTGCCCAAATTCAATAGAAGGAGACGATAAACTCCCCGAATCGCCAATAACAGCAATAAAGGGAAAAAACAATATCCCTACTCGAATTCAATAAAAGGAAAAAGTCAACTCCCCGATTCGCAACTAACAGCAATATACGCAAGAAGCAATGTCGCTGACCCCGATTCGGCACTAACAGCAATAGAGGGAAGAAGCAATGTCGCTGACCCCGATTCAGCACTAACAGCAATATAGGGAAGAAGCAATGTCACTAACCCCGATTCGGCACTAACAGCAATAGAGGGAAGAAGCAATGTCGCTGACCCCGAATCCCCACTAACAGCAATAGAGGGAAGAAGCAATATACCTGACCCAGAATCGCCCCTAACATCAAAAGAGGGAAAAAGTAAAGTCCCTGCCCGAATTCAATAGAAGGAAAAAGTAAGGTTCTCGATTTGTTGCTTATATCAAGAAAAAATAATATTTTCAAAATATTACCAATCAAACTATCAAGAAAAAGCAATCTAATACCTGGCCAATCAAAACCTTTAAATAACACATTGCATATCGGTATATCTATATACTTATTAGATATAAGTAATAAAACCATATATCGCATCTAATAGGGGTGAAATACCTATCTACTGTATGCTTATTACAAACCTCTTTAATATATTCCAATCCGATCTTACAATTAGTCCAACCTGTATGCGATCGGCTGAAATATGTTTCATAACTCTCCTTGACTAATGCATGCCACCCCGCGTATTGTGTCTCTCCTTCATATATAATCATAGAAGTTAAACTTGAAGCCAGACCACCAGCTGATACAGTTTCAATTACTGTAATTAATTTTCTGTACCCGTCTTGTGACTTGAAATTCCGTTTCTTTCCCCGTCGCAGAATAACCTTTATCCGAGCTGAACGGCCCAATAGAAAACCCATCTCATCGATGTTGTAAATATTTTGTGGGAGGATTCCATGCTCCTGTATAATCTGTCTGAGCTACAAAATGTGTTAATAGCTACTTATAAAGAGGAATGCCGATTGTTGAACCTTCTCGTAGAAATCTCTTAATAAATCCGGATTATTTGCATAGGTACGTTGTTTATCAAGCCTAGTGGCAAATTTGGAGACAAGGTCTGGGTGACAAAGTAGAAACCGAGTAATCCAATTTTTGCCTAGCTGAAGATCTTCTACCCCATAACTGCGTAAAAAGTCCATCGACATGTCTTTAACATATTGATGCTGAGCAGGGAATCCCCATTCATCAAGTCTAATCAGCCAGGTTTTGATAGCCTTCTCCTCGATTGGTGTAAGTTTCTGTTGACTAATGCACAGTTCTTGCCGGCTTGTTTTCCCTCCAATCAGATCTCTCAAAGTGCTTGCTGCTGGACCATTCATCTCCACTGCCTAAGGTACTAATATGCACTTTCCTTTTACCAAATCATCTTTAGCTTCCTTTATACACTTTTCGAAATCTATGTGTTTCTTTATTTTCCCCAAATTGCTTCTAGAATATCGAGGCATGGTTGTAGTAGACTTTAGTAAAGATACCGCACTTGATTGTATTCATTACACTATACTGGAGGAAGAAAACTCTTCCTGCGGGGTATCACCACCATTGCTGACAAAACTGAAACATAGGCACGGTCACACAGTGATATACGGGTACATGGTGAAAGAGGTTACGCTGTTACTCTTTAGACAGATATCTACTATTGCATGTAGTTAATTGGTTTTTTCGCGGAGTCCAGAGAATACGTCACGAAACATGGACTTGTTCCGGTAGAGCTTTACAAGGATCTTATAAGCCCTAAGTCGCTAGGGCTAGGGTTTCTTGAAACTCACTCCAATTCTTTTTTATTGTAATAGAATCTCCAATGCAAAATTCTGTTTGCGTCTTATGGTAGGTATTAAGACCGAAAGGAAGTTTTTCAGTATTGTCTTGCCGCTGTCTGTGGAGGAATTACTTCATCTCAAGACCATCCCTCAAGATCGATTAAGTCACAAGACGAACTCTCAAGTTACCCCATCTTGCACCCCGTTACCACTATAGAAACATCCATACTCATCCTACTTCTAATCACTTGTCCGCGTGCCGATTAGTTCTTCCTTCCCTAATTTAAATCAGTAGATGTTTTAAACTTACAACTAGGAATATCGAATATCCTGAAGTATCATGGAATCAACAGCTTATTTAGGAAGCGTGAGTACTAAAGTAGACATAAATAGCTATAGTACATGACAAGCGCACGTAATGTACCTCACAGTTTTGGTGTTCATTTCATGTTTCTGACCTGTCTCAAAACAAATATATACATGGCCTCTCTACATACAAGAAGTTTGGAGGTATACTTATCTCCTGACGCGACATATGAATGTCTTTGTACCAATAGCTCCATGTATCTAGAGCACCCCCTCTCCCCTTAGCAATTTTAACTCCCCTCATATGGAACCCTCATACAGAGCTTTTGAGTGTCTAATCGGGTTTACCGTAATCCGAAACTATCGCCTTTGGTGAGTCGCGCGGTATATCGTATGGTCACTACTTAAGTCTAGTTTTAGTTCCGTTCGATAGGAAATACATTCTCCTCGTACCTGCAAGACCTTCAACGTATTCTTCCCCGTCCAACTTTGAGACTTTCCATAGTACCTCCCTCGAGAAGCGATGACAGTCTGGTTGTAGACTGCGAGTCATTTTTCGCTGCACCAGTGGAAGGTTCTGAGATATCGCCCAACAATAGGGATGAAAAGTACTTATCGATTCTCTTCATTAGTTTGGCAAGCGATATGTCGTTGGATTTTCTGAGCGGATATCCCACAACAATACCCCACTCCAAATCAGATCCCCCTCGTTTGACATTAGTGACAGATTCCAAGAAGTTAGAGAAGAAGAACTACTATCGGCATTCAAATCCTGCCCAGCCCACTCAGCAACAGGACCAGACAACATCCCCTACCCATTCATACAAGCAAAGGTCAAAGCCAACACACAACACTTCCAGGAAATGTTTATGGCTATAAATCAGCAAGCTTAACAAATTCTGTAAAGTATCCAGAGAATCAAAATCTGGTTTGAGGTCTCAGGAGAGTTTCAGGAGATTCAAGAGACTGTTGGGAGATTCATGAATATTTACAAACTTGCTGATATAGTAAGGTTTGCCGTCTAGCCCGACAGATGGAAAGTGGCCAAATACATCCCAATTACAAAATCAAGGAAAGCAAACTATTCCCAAGCTAAAGCATACCGACCAATATCCCTCCTCCAGTGCTTCAGCAAAGTTCTTGAAAGAATCGTTGCAACAAGAAAATGCACAGCAGGGTCAAGCTTGGAAACCCTCACCAAAGACCAATTCAGAAGCAGACCCACAGTGTCAGCAATTGACACCCTCCTTCACACCCTCACCCCTATACAACAAAATATCCTAATTAAAAAATTTATGGGAAAACCCCCAGATTGACCAGCACTCCTCATCAATGACATACAAATAGCCTTTAACTGTATCGACAATGATTCTTTTACCCAGATCATGTCCCAATAGAAATTCCCAAAATACTTTAACAACTGGTGCATGGAATTCAATCTCAACTGAACCCTCCAATTCCAATTCAATTACAAACTAGAAAACCCGCAACCCTAAAACTCAGGCCTACCACAAGGCTCCCAAATATCACCAGTCCTCTTCATGATTTAAGTAGGAGTGATAATGGACCCCTCAACAAAATCAAAAGAACTCAACACCACATATATCGATGAAGTTGCCCTCACCCAAATAGCCAAATCCTCTGTCTTTATCGCTAAAAGGCTGAAAGAAAAAATGACAGAAAGAATCCTTAAAGCGAAACCAGTCAAAATCACTTATGAACCCCAGAAGTCTGATTTAGTCCTCGTCAAACCCCAATCAAAAGCCCTACAACCGACAAACACTGTCATTATTTTAGAAACAACAGTGCAACTCAAAAACAAACTCCGATACGTAGGAGTCTGGTTGGACTCTAACCTCTCCTTCCCACTCCATATTGAAGAAACCATCTCCAATTGCCTCCGAATACTGAGCAAAATCTGAAAC